GACCCGTCACCGAGCCTTGGTTGCTAAGGTAATTTACCATTTCCCCAGGCATACTTTTCTCTCTCCTCCCGCCTGCCTTGCACTCCCCTCGGGGCAGCGATGGCTTGCGCGGCTTCATTCCCGCGTTCCTTCCCGCCGCCCCCCCACCGGACGGAGCGGTGAAACTCTTTGCATTTCTTCGTCCGTTCCCTTCAAAGGCGTGTAACATCGGGGCGCCGGCCGAGCGTGTTGGGTGTGAGACGCCGCTTTCAGGATGGGTGGGAGAGAATTAACCCCAAGCAGAGCGCGCCGCCTCGCTGTCTCCGTCTCCCCCTCTTTTTCGGACTTGGATCGGAGGGGGGTGGTTCGGAGGGGGGTGCCTGCGGATGAGCAACCCGACGTGTTCAGAAAGGGGCTCGGTGGCTGGGCGTCGTGTGAGCGCGCCCGCGGAGCCGCGTCCCATTCGGCGTGCGCTCCCCTTGCTGTGGATGTGCGCGGAGGTGGCGGGGGGGTCGGCGGCGGCGGCGTTTGCCTTTCCCGTTAAAGCACCGGGGAAGTTTGTTTCCCTCTCCCGCCCTTCCCGAAGGCAGGAGGGAAGAGGAGACCGACCTCGGCTTTCTGGCCGAGCCCCGGAGCCACGAATCAAGGCCGAGGCACCCGGAGGGCAATCGCTAAGCAACCAGCCGGGGAAGGAAGGAAGGAAGGAGGGAAGGGACGCGCTGCTTCGGGTGGCGCGCCGGGCTCCTGGCTCGTCGCTGCGCCAATGGCCTGATCCGTGAATGAAACGGAGAAGCGGAGCAGCTGGAGTTCCACCGGCGGGAAACGGAGCCAGCTGGGGGTGGATCGGAGACTGTGAAATTAGATTTCCCCCCCCTTAAGGCGGCGGCGGAAGTAAATAAATAAATAAGAGAGAAAGAGAGATTTGCGAAATTAATTTGCATGACGGGGAGTTGGAAACGAGGGAGCTTTTCTGGAGAGGTGGGTAAACCGCCTGCTTGCTGTGCATAACAATTAGACGTGGTAGAAACGGAAATCCAGGCGCTTTGCAGCCGGAGTCGGGCGAGCCCAGGACCTGCTTTTGAGTCAAACAGCGGCTTCACCCCGTCCTGACAGCAGGGACTGGGGTGGTGGTGGTGGAGTTGAGCCTCCCCCCCACACACACACTCTGGCTCCAGGAGCGCTGCAATCCTCAACATGCCTATTTGGATCGGCCCATCCCATTGAATTCACTGGGAAAGGATGACGCGCGCGCGGGGTGGGTTATGTTTGCACGACATCTGTTCAGGGTAGGAAGTAGAGGGTTTGGAGGGTTTGGAGAAGGGGGCTCAGGAAGGTTGTGGGTTTTTGGGGCTCTTTGGCCGTGTTTCTGAAGGTTGTTCTTCCTGACGTTTTGCCAGTCTCTGTGGCTGGCATCTTCAGAGTACAGGAGTAGGAACTCTGTCCATGCTCTGTTGCTGTTTGTTGGATAGTTGAGTATCAACTATAAATAGTTAACTATCCAACAAACGGCAAAAGAGCAACCTTCAGAACACGGCCAAAGAGCCTGAAAAACCCACAACAACCATTAAAGGAAAACCTTGTAATTTCCAGAGGAAGAACCCCTGGCTATGTTGCAGCCAAACTGGCAAAGAGCCTGGTGGCATCTTAAGAGAGAAGTTTTCCTTCGTGGCAGCTTTCATGGGATGAAGCTAGTTAGGCCACACAAAAGCTTTAGCCGGTTAAAAAACTGCTAGTCTTCAAGGTGCCACAAAGACTCGGAGTTGGGCTGGCAGCCCTTCTGTTGTCTGTGGCTCTTGCTTGAAAGGCTTAGGTGGGGTAGAGACAGAGCAGGCGGTAAACCGGATTTATTGCACACTGTTGAGTTGTAAACCTGCCTACAAAGAAGAAAAGGGAGGCCGATCTTTAGAAGTGAGAAGGGTTCCATGACACTGGTGTGAAGGAGAGCACTATTGCTATCCTCATGCTAAGAGGAAGAGTGCCTAGGACGGAAGGTTTCCATACTGCTCCTTTTTGGGCAGACAGCCTTATTATACCTTTGCCTCTTGCGGCTCTAACAGCTGAGCGGCACTCCTTTGCTATTCCTACCAGGCAAGACCCTATTGTCCCTTAGAAGAGAATGAAGGGTCTGGAGGGTGGGGAGTGCTAAAACAGCCCAGTTATACTTAGTTCAATTACTGCTGGGGGCTTCAGGTGCCCAACTGAGTTCTGTATAGGAGTTCTGGCTTTGGTTGCGGGTGCAAGTGGTTGTAATGTTTTGACTGATGGAATCTCTGAAGCTCAGAGGAGGAAGTGAGAATATTGTTCATTGTCCTATCTCCTTGTCCTGAATACATTGATTCAAAAGAGACCTTCACAGATTTTAACCCACCAGGTAACATAGGTGAACAGTGATAAATTTTGATTTTTCTGCCATCTGAGTATGAAAGCCAAAAGGCAAGTGGTTGTCAATTAAGCTCAAAACCTTTTTTTAAGGGAGAAATGACATTTCTCATTTGCCACCTGCAAATGAGCAGTGGCAGGGTGATCCTTTGGGTCTCAGGGCATCATCCCAGCATCCCTCTGCTATGAGTGGTTTCAAGATGTCCTTACCTTTATTTTCCTTAAAAGTAACTTTCTAAGCTATGCTGCAGTTCCTGGCCACAGTAGGCAGTGTTCAGTTGGGTGGGTCCTAGATTGTACAACTTGACTTGCCTTTCTGATTTCATTTGAGTTTACTTATTAGAGAAGAAAGTAGCAGGAAAAGGTCTAAAGATCTGCTGAATTAATCACATTTACATGGAAATAAATTGCATCAAAAGTATGCATGGGGAAGTAAAGACGCCTTTGAAGTCATTCCTGTAATAAAAAACTTACTGAATGTGACAAAACCAAGTATTTTTTTAAAAGGCAAAGAGTTGTCTGTATCCCAGCCTTCATATCCTTCTGTCCTCCAGATTGACTAGACCAGTGGTCTCCAACCTTGAGCCTCCAGATGTTCTTGAACTCCAACTCCCAGAAGCCTTCACCATCACCTCTCCTGGCCAGGATTTCTGGGAGTTGAAGTCCAAGAACATTTGGAGGCACAAGGTTGGGGACCACTGGACTAGACTATAGGACACTGCAGGATAGTGCTGATGGGAGTTCTAGTCCAATAGTTCTAGAAAGCACTAGTTGGGAAAGTCTGCTCTAGTGTGTATCTATATGTCCTTTCCATCAGTTAGCTTGTGCAGGCTAATGTTGCCGAGACCTAGTTCAATGGTTGCAATTGGGTGCTGTGTGGTTCATAGGTCAGTGATTTCAGCCTTGACTCCCCAGATGTTCTTGGACTAAAACTCCCAAAAACCTTCACCACTAGCTGTGCTGGCCAGAGTTTCTGGGAGTTGTAGTCCTAGAACATCTGGGGACCCAGGGTTGGTAACCTCTGCCATAGATCATGGATGAATGGAGAGTGGAGGAGCAGTTATTGAGAAGGATGCTTTTAAAGGAGTTCTGGTTTTTAAACATGCTCATTATTATGGTAGGAAGTGTGGTTCTTAGTACGCAGGGATCAGCCAGAATATATACAGTACTTGATAAATACAGGTAGAAGGTAAAGCTGGCTTGTTACAACAGAATCTGGAAGAGTCTTTAACACACCGTAACTGTACCCATTCACAGCTATGATTTATTATTGTTTTGCTCATCCCACGCTTGTGGCCTGGATAATATAATGTGGACCCTGCAGGATTATTTTGAAAGTCTAAAAAATGGTTGTGTGTAGTGGTAGAAGCTGCCCAGCCTAAGTTCACCCAATTGAAGCCTGGAGCTAAAGAGCATTCTTGCATATCAAGAAAAATTCAACACTAGATTTTGATTTGGTCAATTTGTGGTGCAGATGTGAAAATTCTGCTTCTGTTTTATCCTAATAATGGCATGCCTGCAGAAAAAGCATGAAGATGACTCAAAGGCCATAGTATGGGTGACCTTGACCTTCAATGACATGTCCTTAAGTGTCTTATTCTTGAGGATAATCAGTAGTTCCTTCGCAGCTGTCCATCAGGTTTCAGTCACTGTTGGATTTTTTGGTTACCTTCTCCATTTGGATTGATGATTCAGATTTACAGAAAAGGATAAATTTTTGATTGCTTCATTGCCAATGTTAAAATTATTTAATTCTTCTGTACACTTTATTTTCATTTTCTGACTGTTCAGCAGAAATCTTGCTTTTTAATTTTTCTCTTCAAGCTTCCTCAGTAATTCAAGATCTTGCTGTTTTCAATGACTAATAGATGGTGTGGTCTGCAGATCTTCAATTGTACATGTTGTTTCCATCACTTTTAAATTTCTTTCTGTACATCTAATCCAACTTTCCATATGATATATTTTGTGTATAAATCAATTAGCCAAGGATGTAACATGCACCCTTATCTGATGCCTTACCTGATGGAGACCCATTCCGTTTCTTCCTAACAGAAGCATTTTGTCCAAAGTATAGGTTAGACACAACATTGTGGTGTGTCTTTAGTATGATGCTCAGGATTTTATGATTCATCCAATCAAAAGCTTTACTGTAACCTATAAAGAAAAAATATATTCCAATTTTTTTGATGTGCTCTAATAGTGAACATAAAAAAATATTTGCACATGATTTCTAATGTGTCTTCATTTTACTCTATCCATCTCAGATATCAAGCATGCCTGTTGATAAACTGTCCATGAAGTCTGGCTGATATTATTTCATCACAGTTGCTTATACATCCTAAGTACTGTACTTCTGCCGCATCTCTCATTGAGAGGGTCAGGTTGTTTCTTTTTTCTTTGTCATTTCAGAAGTGAAACATTTTGTAAATATCTGATAGAAAACATGCAGAAATAGAGAGGTCACTGATGCAAAAAAATAACATACATGTTTGATCCTCATGTAACTATATTCCCATCAGACTTTTACAACAGAGTGTGGGGGACCTATGGCCCCTTTGGTTGTTGTTAGATTATAATTCCCATCAGCCCCCTCCCTTGTCTGTTTTGGCTGGGGACTGATGGTAGTCACAGGCTAATAACATCTAATAGGCCATAGTTTGCTCACCTGTGAAACAGGAAGTCACTTATTGATTCATCACTAACGTCGTGGTGGGAGCTATTGCTCTGATTTTTCCAGTTTTGGCTTTCAACACTGATTTTGAACTGTCTAAAAAGTGTTTTGTATATGTGAGTCTTGACAATTGTGATGTAACTTTTATAAAATGAAGATGATGAAAACTTTAGTTAAGAACAGTTGTATGTTACTATACTATGTGCTTGTGTTAATGCTGTGTGCTCTGGCATTCCATCAGTCCTGTTTGCCCACTTGAAGGATACAATGAATTTCATTTTCCAAACATTCTCTCCAAATTCACATACAAAAGGAAAGCAGAAAATGCAGTATGAGCTTATTTTGGATTTGGTTTTTTTTTTTTACATTCTCAAAAGAAAGAAAATGCAAGTATAATAGTATTATATAAATCTGGAGCATGAATACTGTATTGTAGAAAATCAGAATTGAAGACTTGCTGCACTTTCTTATGAAAGAAGGCTAAAAATACTCAAAGTCTTTTTTGTTTAGGAGAAACACACAGTATGGTTGAAACATGTCTGGTTTAGGAACCTATGAATGGTTAGAGGGAATGGGCAGAAACACCCAACTCTCTCTGTTAAATACTAGAACTTGGAGACACCCAGTGAACTCAATTGCAAGGCAGGGGTGCTCCAAGACATTTGCTGATACATTGATTTATTTAACATATATGCCACCCACACTACCCAAAGGTCTCCACTCAGTTGGAGGAATATAATA